ACCTCCCTCAATGTGAACCAATCTAGTGTACAGTTAGCTCACAGAACAAGTTCAAACTTTGGCAGAGGTATCAGGGGACCTATCAATGGTAGATCTCCAAGTTATAGAGGCAGAACTAGGGGAAGAGGCAGATTTACTAATGTCAGACAGAATGAAGGCAGAGGATCATGTCAAATCTGTGGATTGAATAATCACTCTGCAAGTTGGTGTTATAACAGATTTGATGAACGTTATATGGGCGGCAAACCACCTAACTCCGGGCAACAGAACATAAACCCAGGACCATCTGCTTATGTAGCATCACCTAGAAGTCTTGAGGATCCAGCATGGTTTGTGGACTCTGGAGCAAGCAATCATGTCACATCTGAAAAGGGTAATATGAATGCTACAACCAGATATGAAGGTAAGGAAAAATTACTTGTTGGTAATGGTGATATGTTACACATTGCTCACATTGGAAATGGCATAATTCATGCATTAAATGATAAGGAAATCAACCTAAAAAAACTGCTGCACGTTCCAGATATTAAAAGGAATCTGATTAGTGTCTCTCAGCTTACAATTGACAATAAAGTTTTCATGGAATTTTACTCTAATTGTTGTGCTGTCAAGGACCTCAAAACGAAGAAGACTCTGTTGCTAGGGGAACTTAAAAGATGGGTTGTATCAGTTGCAGCTGCCATCCTTCAAGTCAGACAGAACCACCTCTCAGCCAAACCACCAAAATAATTTTCAGTGTTTTTCAACTAAGGCGTCTAGTAATCAATCATCTTCCTTCACTCAAATTTCAGCAACTCAACCTGATCTCTGGCACAGAAGGCTGGGTCATCCGTCAACTCAAGTTATGAGTCAAGTGTTTAAATCATGTAATAAAATTCTTAAGTCTAATGAAATTCCAAATTTCTGTGAATCTTGTAAATTTGGCAAAGCACATGCATTACATTTAAACACATCAACTTCTCATGCTAAAAACTCCTTGGAACTTATTCACACTGATGTCTGGGGACCAGCCCCTGTAACATAAACCAATGGATTTAAATATAAT